GTTCTCTTTTTTTATAATTTTTGACGTACACTGAATAGTTTATACTTTCACACATTTCAGTTCGAATTAGACACATTTCAAGTATTCAGAAGCCACATGTGGCTATTGGCCCAGGCAAAATTCCTCCCCTTTAGCTTCTATCCTCAGAATGATCCACTGCACTTTCTGGTGAATACATGCTGGCTGTTTTGGGGGGTTTCTTTTTCATGGTCCATCCTCTGTCTCCAAGGTTTCTGGTCTGTCTTCCTGCACAGATGCTGATAGCCTTCAGGTCTTTTGGCTATTGGTGATTTGTTCCCACCCACTCGTATTTTGGGATTTGAAGGCTACCTTATCATTTATTATATTAGTTTTCTAGGGCTATCATAACAAAATGCCACATACTAGGGAGTTTAAACAACAGAAGTTTATTCTGTCACAGCTCTAGAGGCTGGAAGTCCAAGATCAACATGTTGGCAGAGTTGGTTCATTCTGAGGCCTCTTCTCTTTGGTTTGCAAATGGCCATTTTCTTGCTCTGGCCTCAGGTGCATCCCAGGTGACTCTCTGTGAGCCCTAATCTCCTGCTTATTAGGACACAACGTGTTGTCAAAACAAGTCAAAATGTTTCTGTCAATGGCATCCCAAGAGTGAGCTCCCAGAGAAGGACTTCACTAATGTAGAATCAAAATCTGGCTTATTTTTCTCTATGGCAGAGAGGAGAGAGTATTAGATTACAGACTCAAAGGGGTTATGAATTTCAGTCACAGCTCAATAGTTAACTGGCCATGAGTTCCCAGGCAACCCATTTAAGCTCCCTGCTTCTCGTTTTAGTATGCATGTGTATTTACATATATTTGCACATATCTGCCTGCAATGCTGGAGATCCAGGTTCTGTCCCTGGGTTGGGAAGATCCCCTGGAGAGGGAAATGGCAACCCACTCCAGTGCTCTTGCGTGGAGAATTCCATGGACGGAAGAGCCTAGAGGACTAAGTCCATGGAGTCTCAAAGAGTTGAATACAACTGAAGCGACGAACATTTTGCTGAAGAAGCCATGCATTTTAGAACCAGACTAAAGAAAGAGAAGCTAATGGAAGAGACCATTAGAACAGAAAGAGGAAAGGATTACAAGATGCTGAAGAAGTGGGGCGCCAATAGGGAACCTCTAGGAAGGTGACCCTCTAGGGAGGACTGATCTGAGGACTTGAAAGTGGCTGTTGGATTTTAGGTCTCAGGAGGCATCAGTGTGGATGAATTCCATGGACAGAGGAGTCTGGTGGGCTACAGTCCATGGGGTTGCAAAGAGTCGGACATAACTGAAGTGACTTAGCATGCACACATGCACAGGTATCAGTGATCCTAGCTAATTCACTTTAGTAAAGATGGTTGATTTGTAGAAACTTGTAAGAAAGTTCCTATGATTTGACATCTCAACTTTATGTTTGAATCATCTCTCAGAAGTAGGTTTAATCATCTCCACTACATTTCTTCTCATGTTCTCCCAACTTTTTGTTGATAGAGTTGGGGATTTTAAAAGAGAGTGAGATTAGTGTTGTACTTTCAATTTCCTCTCAAGACTTGTGAAAAGAATATGACCAGCCAATTTATAACATAGGTGCCTTTGCAAAATGTGAAATATAAGGTCATTTAGCTTATGGGCTAATTCACACAGCCCCATTTAATTCAATTCCATGGACCATTAATTTCCCATCTCTACTGACAGTAATAATGACCAAATGATATATTCAGAGTTTAAAACTAGAATCAAGCTCTGAATAGTAGAGGAATTTATCTAAAACTCTTTATAAAGTACATTAGTTAATTTTATTTAGACTCATCATATGAAAGTTGTTTGAATATTAGCTTCTATGGTATGTTTCACTAGAAAATGGGTGACCATGGGACTTGTCCTTTAGGAGGTTTTTTTTTTTAAAAAAACTTAAATCCTAAACCCTATTTGAAAAAGAAATTGCTGTCTTTATAACTGATTCTTCATGCTGGAGTGGTAGATGCTGTAAATTCTTTCAATGAAAACAGGATAGAATCTAGTCAACATTGTTCACAGCTATAAGTCAGAAAATACTTGTATATTACAACTTATGTTTGGAACCTTGTTCTAATCTTTTAGACCACTTTTTTGTGCTTTTAGCCTTCATGGAGAAGTCCCTTCCCCTAAAACCCTTTCCACTAAACACTGAAATTATGTAGTTGTGAAGTAAAATACTGAGCTCTAATTCTGTTTTCTCCCTTAATATGATGTATTACTGAGGTTTATTAAATCTGTCAGTTTTGAAAATGCAAAAGAACTTGTGAGCAAATGCTTAGTTGAAAATTTGCCTGGAGACTTTACATAGTATCTTTACAGAAGCATTCAAGGGTTGTCAGTCTTTGTGAAGTTAATGTTGTCTAAAGTTTGTATATAAAATACAGTCTTCCTGGCAGTAACTACTTGATAAGAGTCTTAAAGATTCTCGCAGCAATTTCAATTTAAAAATAACTTATTAGCCCTTCCTAATGCAACCTCTCACTAAAGATCCATGGAGACATAAAAAAGGTAAAAACTTGGGATGAATTTAGAAACTATCAGTAGTATCTATAGTTAACCTATTAGGTAATCTGAAATGAGTTTCTGTTTATCCTAAAGGTAATGGACTGAATTTAAATTTAAATTTTAAATTTTAAACTAAAGTTACTAGCTCATTCTTGTGATGTAGTCTCTGAAAAGTTTGGGTAGAAAAACCTTTTGCTTTCTTCCTCATTGTCTTAACATCTGGTACAGAAATGCAAATCTTCTTTTACTCATCCCACTTACAGAAATTTGCCTATTATTCATATCATATAACTTCAAGTTTATTAGTAGGATAATGTTTATTGCAGCATTTTTATGACAGGGAAAAGCTGGAAGCAGTGTAAATGTCCATCAGGAAGAGATTGGTTGAGTAAATTGATTCATTATATACTATATTATACACAGTAAATATTGATATAATTCTATATGCATTAAAGAAACATGTGATACATTAAATTAAAAAGGTATGTTACAGAATATTATGTTTAGTGTGATCCCACTTATGTAAAATAATAGAAAGACTGACATTTAAATGTATATAGAAAGCACATTTTTAATGGTGGTTATTTCTGGGGACTAGAAGGAAAAAGCAATAAATGTTTTTTTATTTCTTGTTTTATACACTGTATAGTATTTTTGTTTTCTAAGAGACTTATTTTCAAAGTTAAAAAAAAAGAAAAAGATAAAATCTCTGTGACAAATTGTTTATAAAAGTCATCCCTTCCCCTTGTCTATGCCCATGAGTCATCCCCCTCTCACATTGACACTGGGCTGGGCCATGAATTTGCTTTGGCTGATGGGACAGTACAAATATGATGCAGAAACTTGAAAAGAAAGTTGCACAACAGAGCCACCCTCTGTTTTGCTGGTCTTGGGATCCTTGCAACCACCCTCATGTAAACAGAGGTAGCCTGTTTTATGATGAGAAACACGTGACCTGGCACCTTAGCCACCGGCCAGGCTAGACATTCAGGGGAGACCATCCACTGCCAGCTGTCCACAGTTGCATGAGTGAGATAAGTGTACCATGCTGTAATCAGTGGGTGATTATTCCTTTATGATATGAAATGCTCTCAAGATTTCATTGGCTCTATCTGTTTGATTTAGTTCATCCTCCATGTAGCAATAGCTAAACCCACAATATTTTGAGACACTCCCCTCTCTCTCGTAGACTCTGTTACAAATACCTTGAGTTTATCAGGCTTCTTTATCAAGACAGCCAAATCCTTTGATTCTTTCCCCACATCTATTTTGTCCCTTAGAAAGAATGTACTTGGGGCCACTTCCCTAAATGTTTTCACAAGCTTTCATGAAGAGGTTTTCCCTCGGGGATGAGACTGTTTAGGTGGCATTTATAACTATCATTTCTCAGTTGGCTCTTTTACACTTAACATATTAAAAATTGTGTTTTTCAGTATTGAAAGTTCTGGAATTTGTGGATTTCCTCTTTTCCTTTTCAGCCCTGCTCGCAGCTAGTTCTTTAGTGAGTTTGTCTTCCTGATATTTTGTGAAGTGTGTCTAATAGCATACTGTTCCCTGATTTATTTGTATAAATCCACCAGTCCATTAGTCACATGATCTACTTTCCAGGTTATTGCAGCAAATGCACTTTGCCTCTGTGTTACACGTTAGCCTTCAGTGACAGTTTCCTGTAGTCCCATCCCAGTGCTGGCGTCCCAAACATACATCTTCGGCAGTAACCCAGCCCTGGTTCTGGTTTCCTTTTTAGCAGCTTTTCCTAAATAAGGCTGCTGTAATAACTCCAAAATTTTAGTACCTCACTAGGGATTTATTTCTGACTGTCATGTTAGCTACAAGTTGTCTGCAGTTCTGAGGCCCCATTAAATGTGTTTGACTCTGTGTTCCAGGCTGAGGAGCAGCCTTATCTTGGTCTTAGTTCAGAGAGAAAAGTAAAAATGCTGAACCATGTAATAATACATCTTATATCTTCTTCTCAGACATGTTGTAGATAACTTGCATTTCATTGGCCAAAGCAAGTTATATAACCAAGCCCAAGGACAAGGATATATAGTTTCACTTTTGGGAGGGGCGGGAACAGTTGAGAACAACCATACCACCTGCATATCCACTTCTAGATTTATTCCCTAGAGTAGTGTCTTTCCAAGTGCTAAGTTCTTAGCTGAAGACAAACATGGACGTTAACAGTATATAAGATCATCCAAGGAGAGGGGAGCTAGAGCTGGAAACCCCATGGGAGAAGATCTACAGAGGAGATGAAGAATGAACTGTCAGAGGCAGGAAAGAGAAACAGGAAAGAACGTGTCCTGGACCCCCGCAGTACAACTGTTTTTGCTCTAAAAATTGTAACTTTTAAAAATAAAGAAGCCTGAATGCAAAATGCTTTAAATCTGTCTAGTTTGTATCATCACAAGACTTAATTTCCAAGGAGTATATGAGTTTTAAAATTAATAGATGTTTACTTGTCATTACAGAGATTTGCCACAATATGGACAGAAGCAGTGGCAGTCCTATTTTGGAAGAACTTTTGATGTTTACACCAAACTGTGGAAATTCCAGCAGCAGCATCGGTAAAGGATTTTTAAAGTTTTATGTTAGTCACAGTTTTGACCTTTACTACCTCAGTGCTTTTTATCTTTTCGTATCTCATTTCATCTTTGTGACCAAAAGAAAATAAATTGATTTTTTTCCCTATTTATTTAAATTTTCCAAGTGTAATAGTATCTGATTTTTAAAGACAATATCATATCTGAAATGATTCAGATTAAGTAGGTAGGCAGATTCATGATGTCATTCTGAAATAGGTATTGTTTATTGGCCAAAGCCATTTGGGGGAGGGGGTTGCTTCTAATTTCCATGAACGTAGCTCAGAGAAGTCTATTTTTGTATTTCAGCATACTCTAAATAGACACTTTATAAATGGTTTTTGAATTTGAGTGCTTATGTTGAAATCTCATGAAAAATTCATGAATTTCAATTTATGTACTCAAAATTTCATGATGAATTGGGTGATACTTTATCCTGTGAAATTAACAGATTTGGTTATTTTTGAAATTTATAGTCTCTCATTTCTATTTTCTTATCTCCTATGTAAAACAGACAAGTCTTGGATAATCGGTATGGCTTGAAGCGGTGGCAAATAGGGGAAATTGCTTCTAAGATTGGGCAGCTATACTACCATTATTAGTAAGTGAACTGCAAATGGGAAAAATAAAGCTTTCTCCTGATTTAAACACAGCATGCAGAAATATGCATCGATACATATCTGGTAGGAGGGAAAGTGGATGAATTACACTTGAAATTCTAATAGTTCAAATCATCTTGATTAAGGCAGCATTTTAAAGTGACCTTCCATAATCAAAGTGACATTATTTGCTTCAAAGGCTCACCTTCCAAACAGTTCATTTGGTCAGATTCATTTGTAAACTTAAAGGAGTATGATCCTTGGTTTTAGATAAGAAAAATACTAAATGAATGTATGGTTCTTAATGGCTTCACTTGAATCTTGATCCCTTACAGAGACATAACATAACTGGTATGTTTGTTTGAATGAGTGGTTTTCAGGAGGATACTTTAAAACCAATCCTTGTATGCTATGTCTGAAAGGGTATGTGAAATCAATAAAGATACTTTTGACTACTATAGTCCCACCCATGAGTCAATGAAAGAAGAGAGCTCCATTTAGTATCCAAACATTGCATTATCATTAAGTGGTATCATGCGTTTCATAAAAAGGCTTAGACTGTTTGTAGTTTAGTGGACCAGAAAATTCTTTCCTCTCCCTGTCTTTTGGCATGCCACCCAGATTCCCACCATTAAAATTACTTTTCCTGGTAGAATGTTTTCTTAAGAAATCCCTTGTAAAACTAGCAGTGTTATTGTGTGTAACTATGTGCTGTGCTTAGTCACTTAGTCGTGTCCGACCCTTTGCGCCCCCATGGACAATAGCCCGCCAGGATCCTCTGTTCATGGAGATTCTCCAGGCAAGAATGCTAGAGTGGGTTGCCATGCCCTCCTCTAGGGGATCTCCCCAACCCAGGGAATCGAACCCAGGTCTCCCCCATTGCAGATGGATTGTTTACTTTCTGAGCCACCAGGGAAACCCAAGAATACTGGATTGGGTAGCCTATGCCTTCTGCAGCGGATCTTCCTGACCCAGGAATTGAACTGGGGTCTCCTGCATTGAAGGCGGATTCTTTACCAGCTGAGCTACCAACTATACTTCAATTAAAAGAACAAACTAGAAATGTTGAATAGAAAATCCAACTTATCAGCATCCTATGAAGATTAATATGGATCAGGGTCCATTTCTCAGTCCTCTGGTCCCAGGCCTTTAATCCCAGGAAAGATTTAACTGAGTAGAATGCTGTTTGGCGAGGCCCTTTGAAGAATAAGAGTAATGTGTACTTTGGGTTGCTGTCAAAAAAGGCTTGGGAGCAGAGGGGAGGTATTTTTTAAAAAATTATTATTATTCTTTCCATATCACCTTTTAAGGGTGATATGATTATTGCTTTGGTGATTCAAATCTAGCATAGTCGTTCCCATCCCTTCCAGTAAAGGAAGAAAGGAGTAACAAAACAAGTATTTATCATGGTGAAGAGTCTGAGACACTGTCATACTTAAGATTTTCTTTCTCTCTCATAGCCTACGCACATCTGAGACCAGCTATCTGAATGAGGCTTTCTCCTTCTATTCTGCAATCAGACAGAGATCTTACTATTCTCAAGTCAATAAAGAGGACAGGTATGCACCTACTGTTTTTAGAAAGAGGAAGATAAAGCACTAAAACTTTTTAGTGTGTGGAAATTAGGCAGAAAAGCACACATTTGTTTATAACTTTTATTCATTTAATGGGCTTTATTGAGTGCCTGCTATATATGAGGCCTTCTTAAGCATACGGAGGTGTGTTACCTAAAAGCAGTAAATATCATGGGTGTTTTGACAGATGTCACAATACCGGGGTAGGGTCAGAGCCCAAAGAAGGGTGGGTTATTTCGTTATGAGAGATTGGGGTCACATGAAGTTTCATAGAAAAGAAACAACTCCAAAATGAGGCTTAGCTGATACCTTTGTTCTGTAGCCTATATCGTCTTAGTTTGTATACATTCAAAACCTGTTGGAAACTGCCATGTAGGGACTAAAGAAAAGTGTATAATGCTGTTTGATTTTTCTTTTATAAATCCAATACCATTTTGCAGTCATGTAGCCTTCACTGTTATGGAAAAAAAATCATGTTAAAGTTATTCATCCCCACTTACTATGTGTCTGGCTTGGGTGGGAGAAGAAAATGAAAAGAAGCTGGACAAGTATCTCTTTTCTTTTTAGATGATTACCTTTTCATGGGAGTCTCAGACACATTTGGGGTACAGGTAGATTCAAATGAGGATAGAGTTGTTGAAGAAATCAGGAATCTGCTGGAGAATCTTTGTTGCTAGGATTCAAGAATTGTTGAAAGATCTGAATATTCTCCCTACTCCCAGTAGTGGAACTCGCAGTCATTATCTAAGTGAAAAGATTATATTCTGTTAGAAAAAGAAGAAAATGTAGTTTTCACGTTTTTCTAGAGAATACTTTGCGGTTGGCTGTCATAAGCTCTCCAGCTAAATAGCAACATTTTGGGGAAAGCCCCACTCTGGTAAATCCCCTTCATTCCCTTGCAAATCTTGTTCAGACTTGTCTGGAGAAATTTGCTTGAAACAAGGTATGTAGACTCTGAATTCTACATTTTTCCCCAAGGTCTTTCTTGCTTCATGAAGTTGCATCGGTTACTTTTCTTTCAGAATTTTTTATGGCTTGCTTCACGTATTTTCACTACAGATATATTTCTTCCAACTCCCTTTTTTTTTTGCATTCATGTTGTATAATTTCTCTGAATTCTTGGTGAGGTAAATTATCTCTCAAAAATACAGAAGGGGTACGTAAAACTTTATTGACTGAAAAATACATATAAGCAAAGATCTATTTTAAGCAATAGTAAAATACCTTGTATAATTCGCTTTTATACATTTTCTAATTTGACACAAGGGAAATTGGTCTTAGGTCCCTTGGCTTCAAACCCAACAGTTTGACTTAATAAAATCACTTTCTGTCCTAAGAGCAAACCACTCTGTCTGACTTGTTTCCCTGTGCTGCCTCCTAGAGTGGGACAAGTGAACAGAGCTAGAATTATTTGGAACCAGGACGATGAAACCTCTTAGGCTTAGAATCAAACTAACTTAGAATCAAAGGACACTTCAGTATATAAAATCTTGATTTTGTTCCCTGCACCGGAGGAAGGAGTTTGTTCAGTTGGTAAAATTGGTTGTTTCTTAGTTCACACAGGGCTAGGGGGCCATCAAGGTAGCAGTTGGTGACAGCTGCTAAAACCAGCAGCTGGTAGATTAAAACTAAGTAAGAAAGTATTCCACAATTTCACAGTTGCTTTAAGAGGCATCTCTCCTCCAGAGGTCAAGTTATCCCTGCATTGTCTTAGTACCGAAGGAATATGTCAAAACCAGGAGGAGTGGTACGTTCCAACGATCCCCAAGGTGACTGCCTGTCACCAAATACAAACAGCTCTCAAAATGTCTCAGTTCCATGGCCTGTCCTGTTGAGTGGAGGAGACATTCGCAAATAATCACTTTTCCAAGCTGTAAGCCCCAGGTGGTTATGAAGGACGAAGGCTGAACCTGGTTAGAGTTAAGATACAGAGAAGGTGAAGTTTCTGAGCGCACAGAGGCTGGAGGGAGACGTTGCAGTCAGCCACCTCGAAAAACAGTTTCTCAGGCAGATGTGTCAAGAGTCGGCATCTTAAAATTAGTGGTCCTAGCAGGTTGGACAAGGCTGCAGTTCCAGCATGCCAAAAGGACTTTGTCAGAGAGAATCTTGATGGCCTCTGTGGTGGTGACAGAACTGGAGTTTTGTTTGATGGTGGAAAATGTGGATCTGAACTTGAAAACCTGTCCACCTCCCAGTCTTGATGCTTATGAGGAGGACTTGATGTGGACCCTTCCCAGTGAGATTCACAGGAGGACTTCTTCTGCAGGAGGCAGAAGGCTGGGGGCCGTCATTCAGGTTTTCAGGCTTGATAGGATCGCCTCTCAAGTTTATTGAGTGGATGACCTCGTATTTTCCTGCCTACTGTCTTCTCATCTTCCTATTTATAGTCCTAATATAAACATTACTCTCTCTGGGAAGCCTTCTCTCACCAAGATCTAGTCCTGTGGACTCAAATAGCATGTTTTGTTTCTCTTATTGATGCTGCCAAAATCTTGACTTTCTCTGCCCTCTGAAGCCAAATTAAAAAAATATGGAGACAGAGTTTGGAGGAAATAGAAAGGTGGCTTAAAATCCTCAGCCAGCCTTGGGGAGAACACAGTAGGCTTCTGCCTCAAGAACTGTGTCATACCCCCACCCCATGAAGAATCTGGGGCAGAAAAGCAAATTTAGTTACAGGCTGCAGATTCAGTTCAGTTCAGTTCAGTCGCTCAGTCGTGTCCAGCTCTTGGCTGCAGATTAGGAACGGTTTAAATAAAAACTAGGTGCGACCAGGCCTGCTCCCTCTTCTCTTCTTTGTTTTCAGGAAAGAAAAGAAAAACTCATTCCTCTTCTTTTCCTTTTCACTGCAACACTATCATTGTAATATTTATTCCACTGTTTTAAGTATTTATCTGTCTCCTCTATATTTTACATATGTTTCTGTCTATAAGATCTGTGAGGAAGGGACTATGTCTATAGTTTCTTTTTTTAGTAATTTTAATCTACTATTTAGCATAGTACTTGGTGCATCTAAGTTTCAGTAGATAGTTGTTGAATAAATTAATGTATGAATGAACAATGTAATGAATCACTGAGTAAAAAATGTATTAAAAAACTATAGATTATATGAAATAGTGTTTATAACTGTGCAAAATAGGATCAAAAGAGTTTAAAAGCTATCAGAAAGTTAGAAAAATCAAGTCACATAATTTTGTTTTTAATCTAATGAATAATTTTCCATTTATCTACCATAGACCTGAGTTGGTAGTTAAGAAGCTACGATACTATGCAAGATTTATAGTAGTTTGTCTTCTTCTCAACAAAATGGATGTTGTGAAGGATCTGGTAAAGGTAAATGTATTTTAATTAAAATCCTGATTTCTAGTTATTTGTTGGTAATTTTGTTTTTTAAAATAGATAAGGTTAAAATAATTTTGTTAATCTAAATTATTACAACTTTCAGAGCATGCCAACTTCTGACAAGGGTAATGATAAAAAATTTTTCCCAGTCTCTTCATGTTTCAAACATACTTACGAGAGATAATTGTATTAATTTCTTGCTTTGGTCCCCTCAGCTCATTTTATATTTCATCACTCATTTATGAGTGGTTGGCAAATGCAAACAAAAGTTAAAATATTTAGTTTAAGATAAAATAATTGAAAAATTAGGTTAAGAACCAGTACAGAATGTTTTATAAAGGTGTTGTATGAATGAGTTTTGGTTATTCCTTATTTTAGTATGTCTTCTTTATTCTGTCCTTCATTAATTCAGGTAATCAGAGTTAACTGCTTTCTAGATTCACTTAATATATGTAATTGTTCCTTGCTACATTCTGGTTACACTCTATTCAGTTAGTGATTTCAGTGGCATACATCTTGATTTTTTTGGTACTTAAGTATAACATGCTAGTTTTTTTTTTAATTGAAGTGCAGTTGATTTACAGTATTGTCTTATTTTCAGGTGTAAAGCAGAGGGATTCAGTATAACATGCTAGTGTTTTGGTTTTTTTTTAAATGAAGTATAGTTAATTTACTGTATTGTGTTAGCTTCAGGTATCTAGCAAAGTGATTCAGTATAACGTGCTAGTTTTGACAAACTTTCTTCCTCTATCCCCAGTTACTAATAGGACTGTTTCCAAAAGAAACAGTATGATATCAATCCAAAGAATTTATGTTCATTTTTTTAATGTTAAAAATTGGGGGGTTTACCTCTAAGAGTTTCTTTTTAATAAAGTCATTGCTGATTAGCACTGAGCAGTGTGTGTCACTGGGTCTCTATGAAGATCTTATTGATGTGTATCATTTTGGAATTTTTGATTTTGAAGCAATTTCATGTAATTTTCACTCTTTGTTTTGGTTGTAATTGGTACTGTATATTGATAATAATCAAACTTCTTAACTATAACAGTTTCCATCAGGATTATAGTACAATATAGCCATCTGTTTTAAGTTTTTTTTTCTGTAACCATTTTTCCTTTGTGATAACTGTGAAATCAGGAACTGTCAGATGAAATTGAAGATTATACTCACCGCTTTAATACTGAAGATCAAGTGGAATGGAACCTGGTACTTCAAGAAGTAGCAGCTTTCATTGAGGTCAGTTATTGACGAGAAAGTTTGTCATAATTATATAAGTAAATGCATATGTGGTGTACATGTTTATTATGTGTATATGTAAAAAAGAAGGAATAATTTCTTACATTGATGTTTTGTCTTGGCTATAAACCACTTACAGTTTTGCTTGTTCTCCAGGCGGACCCTGTAATGGTATTAAATGATGATAATACCATTGTTATCACATCTAATCGCCTTGCTGAAACAGGAGCCCCATTGCTGGAACAAGGCATGATTGTGGGACAGTTGTCTCTGGCTGATGCACTCATTATTGGTAATTGTAATAACCAGGTAAAGAATTGTGAAGGAATTACGCTTAAAATTCACCTTAAAAATTAGCACTTTGGATTGTTACAGAATTATGATTTCCTTGTAAATATCCTAACATCCATTCAATCCCTGGTTGGAGATCTTAATCCCAAAAGCCCACCCAAACCCTCCAAAAATTAAAACCTTGCCTACATAAAGTTCTACAGTAGTACTATTTAACATGAAAAAGGATACAGTTTTTTTGTTTGTTTGTTTTTGTTTTGTTGCCATGCCATGTGGCTTGTGAGAATCTTAGTTCTCCAAATAATGACTGAAATCAGGGCCTTGGCTCTGAGAGCTCTGAGTCCTAAACATTGGACTGCCAGGGGATTTCCAGGATACAGACTTAAACATCATGTAGTACCAAAATGTAATAAAGTGATTTTAAAATGGGCCATGGTTGTACTTCAGCCTCACTGTTTTACCAACAGCCAGCATGTTTTATGGGATATAATATAGGTCTCTGTGTTTACATGATTGCTTTTTAAAAGAAAAAAAAAAAAAAACCTGCCTGTGGAGGGACTTCCCTCCTGGTCCAAGTGGTTAAGATCTGCACTTCCGCTTCAATACCTGGTTGGGAAAGATCCCTCATGCAGTGTGGTGTGCCAAAACAAAACAAAATAAAACAAAACTGGAAATTGATGGATTAATAGATAGGGCAAGATGTTACAAAGCAAATATAAAGAAATGTTAACGTTATAGAATCTGGCTATTGAGCATTTGGGTGTCACTGTATAATTTTTTTCAACTTTCTATCTTTTAAATTTTTTCATAATGAAATGCTGGAGAATAAAATATCCTGTGTCATCAGGTACATATGAAAGTCAAAAGTAACAATGTGATTGAGCACTTTAAGGTCTCTGTACTACATTAATGGTCAGACTTGTTTTCCTTGCAGGTTAAGTTCAGTGAACTAACTGTTGACATGTTCCGGATGTTACAAGCCCTGGAAAGGGAGCCAATGAATTTAGCTTCCCAGATGAATAAACCAGGAATGCAGGTGATTTTTCTCCCTACTTTTGCAGTTTGCTGCTTCTGCTCCTCATGAAATGCTATTATTCAGCAAATGCCACGAGTGTGAATAAAGAACTCTGATGAGACACAGGAGAGAAAGATAAGCATAATGACAGTCTTAAAAAAAGATATTTGATAAAGAGGATGGTAAAAATAGACATTGATAATCCATGCATCAAGTGTGTTTTGTATAGCCATTCCTCTGTATCCACGAGGCATTGGTTCTAGGAACCCTCTGGATACCAAAACTTTCAGATGTTTTAAGATGTTCAGATGTTCAAGCATATAAAGTTTTTGCATAATGTTTATATATAACCTATACACATCCTCCCATATTCGTTGAATCATCTCTAGATTACTTGTAACATCTAACAGAATGTAAATTACATGTAAATAGCTGTAAATACAATGTAAATGTTATGTATATAGTTGCTGGTGCACAGCAAATTTAAGTTTTGATTTTTGGAACTTCCTGGAAAATTGTTTTCAAATATTTTTGATCTGTGGTGGGGTGAATCCATGGATGCGGAACCTATGGATGCAGAGGACCAACTGTGTTTGCATTGTTTTCTGTGTGTAAATATAGGAATCAGCTGACAAGCCTACCAGGCGAGAAAACCCCCACAAGTATCTGCTCTACAAACCAACCTTCAGCCAACTATACACTTTCTTAGCAGCATCTTTTAAGGTATATATCATCCAGTACTTCTTACTATGTAAGGGGAAAATATGGCTTAAATGGAATCTGAGAGTCACTCTTCTCTTGAATATTTGAGTCAAGAATTTAGGAAAAATATGAAAATGAAAACTGCCTTTAGAATATCCTAATCATAGCTATTTTTGGAGTAGAAATTGCATATGACATCAGGAATGATCCCTACCATTAATTAATGAGAATATTGATTAATTATCATCCTACTTCATCTGCATTTTTCTTATTCGGCTGCTTTAGGCCTAACAGTCGATGCAGAACTGAAAAGCAGGAGCAGATTGTGTAGGTGTGTTCCAAATTCAGGCTTCTCTGGGAAACATTTTGGTCATCTGAAAGAACCACGGAGTAGGGGATTCCTCTCAGTTTGTATAGAGAAAGGCACAGACAGAATCTTGTCTTTTAGACCTGTAGTCAAGATCTTTATGTCTCCGTTTTAAGTTTTTCAAACATTCTTTAAATGATGAGGTTTTTGAAGCAGAGAATATCTTCAAAACTTTGGGCTGTAGTTGTAGATTAATAATGAATCTCTGCTTTGTAGACAGTTGCAAGTTGGAAATAACAAGAATGATTTTTCTCTTGAAGAAGACCATAATATGTTAAATTAGGTCCTCGTTTTCCCCACAGCTTGATTATGTGTTTATTTTTGGCTGTGCTGTGTCTTTGTTGTTGCACGGACTTTTCTCCACTTGCAGTGAGCAGGGGCTTCTGTGTAGTTGTGGTGCCTGGGCTTCTCATTGCGGTGACCTTTCTTCTCGCGGAGCACAGGCTCTAGAGGGCACGGGCCCAGTAGTTATGGTTAGAGGGACAAGTGGTGTTCAGCCACCCGAGATTGAGCAATAACAGGTCTGTGATGCCCTTAGATGTCCGGGGCTGCACGCGCGCTACACTGACTGGCTCATCGTGTGCCTACCCTATGCCGGCAGGCGTGGGTAACCCGTTGAACCCCATTCGTGATAGGGATTGGGGATTGCAATTATTCCACATGAACGAGGAACTCCCAGTAAGTGCAGGTTGTAAGCTTACGTTGATTAAGTCCCTGCCCTTTGTACACACCACCCGTGGCTACTACCAGTTGGATGGTTTAGTAAGCTCCCGGACTTAGTTGCACTTGGAATCTTCCCAAACCAGGGATCAAACCCGTGTCTCTTGCATTGACAGGTGGATTCTTTACCTGTGAGCCTCTAGGGAAGCCCTCCTCACAACTTTAAAATGTCACGAACTTTCAATGAAACTGTTGTTTTCTCTTTGTTGTTTTGTATGTGTGATTTCTTTCATTTCAGGAGCTGCCTGCCAATAGCGTGCTTCTGATTTACCTGTCAGCCACTGGCGTTTTCCCCACAGGTCGTTCTGATAGTGAAGGTACAATAAAGGAATGCTCCCTGTTGTGAGCAGGGCTTGAATTCTCTTTATTTTCTACAAGGTGATGGCCCATAGCCCACGAACCGTCTCACGCTTTCTAGAGAGGCTCCTAAATTTGAAACTTGGTCTATTTGCTGAATTGGCAGTCTTATAGATACCTATTTTATTTGCTAAAGTCTTATACAGTGAAGTAAAAAAAAATCAGTAAATTCACATACTGCATACATACATCGCTAACAAATTTGCTAAAAGCAAACATATATATATATATTATACAGGGACTAACCAATTACTGCTTCACATCATTGAATTTTTATGAGCCTTTTGTGCGTTAGAGAATCTGGTCAGCGGCTTCACTGTGGCTGAAAGTCTTGTAGAAATCAGTGCACTTTTGTAACTGTGAAAGTTCAAGTCCTTGACACGATTTTGTTTTGTGTCCTTTCTTTGGTCTTACCAATTCAATCTGTAGAATATTGGGATGCTATTTCAGAATAAAACCGTGAAATGGTCCAGAACATATGAGTTTAGAATATATGAAATTGGTCGAAAATGATGAGTAACTTGAAAGTAAACAAGGCGGTTAAATCTTTATCTGGACAGAAATTCTTTTCTGAACATCCTTAGCATTTTCCTCCTCATTTGTTTGTTGAAATTTGCATTCCTTTATACAATGCATGTCCCTGCCATCTTCCTTGCATGACCTACAGATCCTCTTAAAGTGTTAAAATGAAAACAAAACAAAATAAATCTCAGTCTTTTCACTGTGGTAGTTTTTTAAGGGATAAAGCATAACATTAATATTAAAAGCATTGCAAAATCATGAAATAATTTTTTGGTAATAAAGTTAGTGATTTTGTTTGTAAATAATTATTTCCATGTCTTATAACATGCTATTAAATCAAATATTCTGCACCCCCACCTAACATGTTGATATCTCTTGTTTTACTTTTTTCAAAGTACAGTAGGTACTAACGGAATGGGCCTTTGAGAGAGACTATTTCTCACATCTCATAGTTGCTGTTCCATTTACACAAGAGTTTGACTAACTGATAGTGCCAGTGGGAAAAGGCTAATTCCCGAACTGGAATTGCAGTAGTTGATAAAATAGTCATGATAATGGAGTTTTCCCCTACACTGATATTTGGCAGTTCTTTTCTTACATGAAGTTTTTGTCAATGAGAATTTTCAAGTCCTATTCAAAGATTTCCCTACATTTTACAATTAGTGACTCACTTAAATTTAAGAAATCATTGAACCTGGCTCTCCCACATTGCAGGCAGTCTTTACTGTCTGAGCCACCGGGGAAGCCCTGCAGTTACATTTAAAAAAACCATTAGGGCTTCTTTCTGCAGCTCTCTTATCTACATAATTTTATTTGTTGAACTTGAGATTTGGATTTTGCTTGAAATGAAAAGACCATTTTGAACATCCCAGATCTCCATCCCCCCCTTTTTTTTTATACCCCAGAATAATGGGATACAGTAGATTTTTGTTTTGTTTCTCATTATTATCTGAAGAACAAATGACAATGATCTTTTAAAATGCTGAAACAGGCAACATGCTGAAATATTGAAATTCTGTGTTAAACTGAAGTGTTAAATTTTAAGTTAATAAAAATGTTTTTTTAATTATCTTCCACTTGTATCAGTGAGAGATTCACCCGGTACCTTTGTACCTTTGTATATCATATTAATGTTACTCTCCAACTGAAGTCTAGGATTCTTCCCTTCTGTTTTTATAGGTCCTTATGATTTTGGAGGGGTACTTACTAATAGTAACCGAGATATTATAAATGGAGATGCCATCCACAAACGAAATCAGTCCCACAAAGAAATGCATTGGTATGTATTCTGGTGTCTTTCCCTATTATAAAAATTAAAGTTATGCCTTATAATATGTTAAGTGAAGTGGGGACTGTTTTATAGTACTAGAAATGTCCCCTCAGACAACTGTTCATAACACTTATATGGATTCCAGCAATATTTCAGGCTCTGACTATCTTAGGCATTTAGAATTGTTGGCTTATATTTAAAAAAATTTTTATTGAGTATCTGTTATATGTCAGGCACCATTAAGTCACTGGAGATCTGCTCATTCAAGTTGGAGGAGGTAATAAATGTATATAAATAATAACTCAGGACATGATGCATGTTAATATCAACATAAACATTTTAATATAAAGTTCTATTGGTATAATACAGCAAAACTGAAGTTAGCTGTATGATTTCAGGTAAATTTCATCCATGAAAGTTTACTTAACACATTCACTGCTTGTTCTGTTATTGGCTGTAGGATTTCTCTAGCTGAGAGATAGCAATTTTATTATAGAGGAAACTGGACTTGCTTGAAACTGCATTTCTAATAACACTTTACATAAAAACAGAGCTCCTCAAATTAAAGAGTGGCTAAGGAAGGGTAGAGAAGGAAATGTTTCAATTATTATACGTGTAATAGTGAAAGATTCCCCAAGCCATATGTTGGTGCTATAGTTGACCTTACTTGTAAGTGATTTATATTAGAAAAACCTGTATTTGAGATATATTGGGGTTTGATGATACTTCTCATTGACACATCATTTTGTATATTTACATTTACATTAATATTTATACACATACATGCATTGTCCACTAACCCTGGGAAAGAGCATGCACACCAATATTGTGATCTTAAGAAGTGACCCTCAAATGCATGTCACTGGACTTTGGGTCTAGTAGTTCTTCCGTGGACCAGTGAATCTGTATCTATAACAAGCACCCCAGCTGATTCCAATGCAAATGTCCAGAGGAAATGCAGGCAATAATAAGAGGGGAGCCCTCACTTACCGTCTGCAAAATTGAGATATAGCTAAAAATAGCAGTCCCCAACCTTTTCGGCACTAGGGACAGGTTTTATGGAAGACAGTTGTTCCACGGTGCGGGGTGGAGGAGATGGTTTTTGGATGATTCAAGTGTATTACTTGCATTGTGCACTTTATTTCTATTATTATTATATCAACTCCAACTCAGATCATTAGGCATTAGATCCCAGAGTTTGGGGACCCATGGCTTAAAACATTAAAAATATTAAAATTGGATATGGATTTTGAAAGACTCATTGAAATAGAAATTTGGTTGTGTTATTGCATTTTCTCTTCAGTACCTGTTCTTAAGAGGAACTTTTTAAAATACTAGATAAGTTCCTAAATGCTGACTTCTGAGATTTTCATGTGTGTTTAATCCATCTTTAAATATATAGATTTCTCTTTAGCTTGAATATTCTCTTTTAAAAATATTTATTTATTATTCATTTGGCTGTGTCAGATCTTTGTTGCAGCATGCAGAAGCTTTCATTGTGAGATGTAGGCGTCTCTCTGGTTATGGCTTGTGGGCTCTAGCGGGCAGGCTCAGTGGTTGTAGCACAACCGTGGCATGTGGGATCTTAGTTCTCTGACCAGGGGTCAAAGCCACGTCCTCTGCATTGGAAGGTGGATTCTTAACCACTGGACCAGCAGGGAAGTCCCTAGCTTGAATATTCTTGAATAATAATTATGTCTTTTTTTTTTTCTCCCAAATAAAACTGCTCACTTGTCTACCCCAATAAATACAGACTTTTTTGGTCTTCTACTTAATTAACTTTTGTTTTTCTCTCAGTGCTGTGATGAAAAAGAGATGTGAGTAGACCAAACTGAAGAATAAGATATCTGAGGCTCGGCTGATAGAGTTATACAGTCATTCATTGTTACCATCGTTGTTGTTTTCCCAGCCTCCATCCTGGAGATCTCTACCCCTTCACAAGGAAGCCGCTGTTCATCATTGTGGATTCGTCCAACAGTGTTGCTTACAAGGTAAGTTCCGCACACTCCATCGCACGTTAGACGCTACGGCACCACCCCGAGGTAACCAACCTGAACATGTGCCTTTTTATTTTGCTTTATTTTATTTAATTTTACACAATTTGTATTTAGTCTTTCTTTTCTTTTGAGGTTGTGCATGCTAGTCAGGATCTGGTGCTATGACTAGAAACAAGAAGAAAACGCATGAATGGACACTCAGTGGAAAATAATAAATCCTCCTGCAGGAAAAAAATATTCAAGATTTCCAAGATCTCTGGTGGGAGGTTTATTTTTGTTATATAACGCAGAATAATTTTCTTTTATAGAGGTGGAACTATATGGGCAAATTTTCTTTTCCAGTTTTCATACCTTTTCCCCTCTACACACTGAGCTACTATATTTTAAGTGAAATTTCTATCCCATGTTATGTAGTTACAGTCATTGACTATCTACACAAATTGTTTTAGATGCACTTAATTTTTTTTTTTTTAATTAGTGACAGTAAGTGAAAAATGATGATCCTGGATTCTGAAATAAGTAGCAGGGACCGAATGTGAAAATTTCCTTGTTTTGTATTTTGCTCTTGAAACAGGTTTTCAATGGCTATGTAAAGAATGGCAGCAGCAAGACCCTTTAAAGTTGGATGTTATAATTCAAACTATAGTAATTTACAGGAAAATGAAAACAAGAGTTTTTGGAATCCTTTGTATGTAGTTGGAATATTTCATTAGTGGTCAGTATGCTCAGAAATATGCTAGAAACACTGATCTGCCAATTAAAGTTATTTCTTTTGTAGGTGTTCATATAAATAAATGGAGAAGCAAACATTAATAGGTTTATATGAGAAAAGCAATAGAAATGTCTGCTAGCAAAGAAAGCTGACCCCATTTATATGTTTTCCATCTAATTTTCATGCTTAGTTTCACTTTTTTAAGTCTGAATTTCAGGAGCATCCAATCCACCCTAAATTGTTCAGCATGTTTCCTGCTACCCATTTTGTCCAGTTTAACATTATAGCTTTTGATTTTTAGGAAAATTAGCTATGTACTTTCTTAAATCGTGTGTGTGCTGTTGTAATTTTTTTATCCTTTTGAGAGAGTGGTAAACTGCTGAAGGAAAAGGTTTATTCGCTACCCCAATTAAACATATAAGCCAGAGGAGTCCAGGAATTTTGTTTCTTCACAGTGTTCAAAAAAAGTGTTCTGTGTCTTTGTCAATGAAAAGGAGTCATTTGCTTCAGTTTAATGATGTAACAGAGTGTGTTGATGCACCAGATCAAGTGAATTGCTTACTATGATCTAGTGTGCATTTAAAGTATTTTAGCAGTCTGTTAATTTCTACTTAATTTAATTGGACATTATTTGATACCATCTTTTAAATCTCAAGAATATCATTCATGTTATATACTTGTTCTTTCCAGTGTCATTTGGATGTAGAATGAGTATTGGATGTTGATTGTTAAAAAACACCACTGTGCATAATTGGAATTATATATCATGATATAATTCTAGATTTCTATATCCTGAGCCCCAGGATAACCTTGGAATAATGGAAAGATTTTTATGTTTGTTTGGTGTTGATGGCACAGGCACTATTACTCCTCTAAAAAATTAAATTATCAAGAACAAACTGATCATTAGAAATGAAATGGGGAGCCCATATGCAGTGGGCAAATCAGAGGCTTAACCAATGAACTGCCAGGAAAGTCCTGTACAATGGTTTTTTAACAGCTAAGCCACACAGTAAAGTTTTTCTTTCCTGTGCAACTTTCTACTTTGCCTGGAGCAAATAATATTATCTTTGCTCCTTGTTTGTTTTTTTTTTCCCCCTGAACTTATCACAGATTCAACCCCAAGCTCCTCACCAGTCCTCTAATCTTTCCGGTTGTTCAGATATACCATTTTATCTCTGGGACAAATTATCTCCCAGAGCCTCTGGACTAGTGCCATCTACACATACTACACAGCTCTCATCCCAGAATCTCTTTTTATTATTATTCTGGGAATTCTCTCTCTCTCTTTTATATTGGATCCCCTGTTTCCTGAATCCCCTGTCTTCCTCTTGGACACTCTGTTACTGTCTCATTTGGTTTATTCTTTCATTTTGGTGCAGCATCTCTAGCAAAATCGAGCCTTCTGGGAAAGGATGAATATGAGATGAAACAATCGAAGTCTCACACTTCTGCAAATGTCTTTGATTAACCCTCACACCTGAACGATGGTTTTGGTGTCAGAAGTTATTTCCCTTCAGAATTTGGGAAACATTGTTGCATTACTTTCTATCTTCAGTATTTCTAGTATTTCTTACTTTTTTTTTTTCCCTAGTATTTCTTAAGAAGTACAAAACATTCTAATTCTGGATCTTTCATATGACCTTTGTTCAGTCCCTGGAAATGTATAGTCTCATCTTTGTCACTAGTGTTTTCAACTTCTTAACAGAGTGCCCTGGTCTGGCTTTACTTTTAACTATGGTACTTGGCCTGTACTTCATACATGTACTTTCAGTCTGGAAACTGCCCATTTTCTTGAATTTTTTCAGTGATTTCCTCCCCTCTGTTTTCTTCTTTTGAGAATTTTTGTCATTCAAGTATTGGACCTTCTGGTCTAGTCCTCAGATTTTTTTTGCCTTTTATTTTCCATCTTCTAGTCTTTTGCTCATTAGGAAATTCCTTTGCCTTTATCTTCTAAACCTTTTATTGAGCTTTTCATTTGTTTTCTGGATGTTTCTTTCATAAAGACATGGATGGGTGTGTATAAGACATATGTACGTGCACATATGTAATTGGTTTTTATCCTGGTTGAAATATGCTGTCTTTCCTTTGAGAATGTCAAGGATCATTTTAAAACTTCTCTCTGCATGGTATCTCTCTCCTCTATTATGATTTGCTTCTAGTGCTTTTCCTGCATGTTTCATTTTAGAGACTCATAATTTTTGCTTTTCTGATCAGATTTAATAATGGAAGCTAGCACAATGGTTGGAATCTCTGGGGTTGTAGGCAGGATTGTCACAGTGAGCTTCTCAGTGTGACAGTCTGGCTCAGGAGCCATGGACCAGTACCTCCTGTCAGATCAGCAGCAGCATTCAAGTTAGAAATAAAGTTCACATAAATGTAATGCTCTTAAGTTATCCCGAAACCATCCCTGCACCCCCAGTCTTCCACGAAATCAGTCCCTGGTGTCAAAAAGGTTGGGGACCGCTGATCTAGCTGGGCCTTTTCGTTGAGTCATTTCGGGTGTCAGAATCTTTAGGTCTTTCTTCATGGTCTGGTCATACTCATTGGAGCAGACTCAACTGTTCTGCCCAGAATGTAAAGATCAATTAGCATTATGCTCTGTTCTCCTTGAAGTCTGTGTGAGTTTATATTAATATCTGCTTATACGTGTATCTTTACATACCCAAGTGCCTCATGCTTAAAAAATTCTTAATAAATATATGTTGAATGATTATATGAAGATAGGCACCATTATCCTTATTTTATAGTTGAGGAAACTGCCCATGGAGCTTAAATATCTCGCCTGATTGATTCCAGCAGTCTTTCTCATTTCAGTGCTCAAGCTGTTTCTACATTTAGAAAGAGAGACGCTTTTCATGCTAGTCTGAGCCTCGTTTCAGAGGAGAGGATTGAAACGCAAGATCTCTTAACAGAATAAGTATATCCCACACGTTAACTCTCAAATTTCCATCAGGGTCTAGGCCTCATCTGCAGTGATGTAGTACTAGTGGGGTTAAAAAAAAACAATAACTACTATGATTTTGGCCAACACTTCTTTCAGTTCTACTCCCCCGCCTCCCCCCACCCCCCGCCTTTGGAAGAAGAAAATCCTTTGAGTATTTAATTATTTATGACAGAGCTGGATGCCTGCCAGTGAACATGACTTATACATTTGTCAAAACAGTCATATTTATCTCAGCAGTTTTTGTCCTAAAGTGCTTGGCTGATGTCTGTACGTTGCTGTGGTCTATGAAGGCATACACACAAAATTACCTAAGAGTTCTTCTGACAGTCAGCCTCACTCACTCCATTTCCTCCATGCTACTTTGAAAGACCATCTCTTCATTTGTGTTGTTGTGTGGTTATCTAGGTTTTGTTTCTTTTATATTTAACCTTTTGGGAGTTGCTGGACTTCTTGAATTTGTAGGTTAGAGTTTTTCATTACTGCTGGAAAATTCTTAGCCGCTATCTCTTCAGACCTTGGCCATGCTCCAGCTCCTCTCTCATCTCTTTCTGGACCTCTGATTCTTTAATTCATACATCATTCTCACTGTGTCATCCATGTCTCTTGACCTCTCTTCTCTATTTTCCATCTTTTCATTTCTCTGGCTGAAACTTGGATGATTTCTTTCAGTTTAGCTTTCAGTTCACAAATTCCTTTTTTTTCAGCTGTGACTAACTTGGATATTAAACTAATTTATTGAGTTTTATATTAGCTGTGGTATTTTTCATTTCAGAAAGTTTTATTTGGTTCTTTTTTCAAGTGATTCATTGCCCTTTTTATAGTTCCCTATTTTCTGTTTAAACTTAATAGACCTACTGGTCATATTATTTATTATCCACCTGGTAATTCTTACACCTGAAATCTGCTTTTGCTGCCCAAAGATGCCTGTTGCTGTTTCTGTATCCTGGTATGCTTGATTATCTTTGATTCAATTATTCTTGTATCCTTAAAATTCTCTGTGATAAATTCACTGAACCCTAGAATGATGATATTTCATCCAGAGAGGATCTGCGTGTGCTTGGGGACTATGTGTTTGGGATTACCTCAGTTCATTCAGCTCAGTTCAGTCGCTCGGGCGTGTCCGACTCTTTGCAACCCCATGAATCACAGCATGCCAGGCCTCTCTGTCCATCACCAACTCCCGGAGTTTACTCAAACTCATGTCCATCGAGTCGGTGATGCCATCCAGCCATCTCATCCTCTGTGTCCCTTCTCCTCCCGCCCCCAATCCCTCCCAGCATCAGGGTCTTTTCCAATATGTCAACTCTTCACATGAGGTGGCCAAAGTATTGGAGT